CAGCCCTTGGCCTTTGTGCTCCACAAAACCAAGGCAGGCTTTGCTCAGCATTGCAGGGGCCTGCCCAGAGCCTTTGTCTGCCTGCACTCCTGGCCTCCAAGGAGCTGCTCCAAGGAGTCCCTGGGGAGGCTTTGGCAGTGCCTGCCCTCAGTGGGGCCCAGCAATGCTTCAAGGCACTTGGAGTTTGACTTCTGACTTCTTGAGCAGCTGCTTCAATCTTCTCTGAGTACCTCAGGATCATGGACTGGGCTGCAAACACACCGTGGGGCTCATTAAAATCCAGAAATCCCTCATGATCTCTTTGTCTTCCTTTAATTGGCTTCAAGGCAATTTCAAAACAAGTCTTCAAAGTTTGTACTTTTTTTGTTTTAATTCAAGGATAGACATTTTTTAGTTCAGAGAAGAGGTGATAGAGGTGTTCTCCAAGTGATCTTGATGTTGAATGTCTCCTCAGGAAATCTAGACTGACCCTGTATGATCAACCTTGCCCCTCACCCCCCAACCTCACCAGTTCTGACATGGCCCATCTTGGACTGACAGCTGATGCAGCTCCAAACACACTGTGGGACCCATTAAAACACTGAAAAACAAGTTATTTCCCTTCCTTTAATTGTCTTCAAGTCTTCAAGACTTCTACAGCTCATTGGAGTTGTTTTGTAGTTTAGCTAAGGAGGAAGATTTTAAAGTGGAAGTCACGAAAAATATATTTTTTTTATCAAAGAGGATGATTTACACAGAGCCTTGGGATGCAAGAGGGTCAGGGTGCGAAGGATTTGGATCCAAAGACAAGGGGGCAAAAGAGATTAGTAGCACTTAATCATTGATCAATTGAACAATTATCAAGTGGTTTGATAGTATTTGCTACAATTTTAACAGTGACTGAATTGTAGATTCACAACAACATTAATACCACAGTCAATTCACACCCACAAGCAGGCAGAGATGTGTGCACACATCAATAGTTGGGTAAGAATAAATGATTCACTTTATATAAATATTCTCATTTTGACAATCATTAAAACCTGTGGGACAAAAGTGGTTCAATCCCACTTCTGTAATTCCTTACATTTAATTTGTTGATATAATCTGAGGCAAAGATTGGATCCCTTATTCCTTGAGGCTCCGCAGTGCGACCATGGCTCCTTGATTCCATGAGGTTGCACTGTTTCCCAGCATTCTTGGGCTCCATAAGGCCCTGCAGTGTGACAATGGCCCACTGATTCCATCATTTTCCCCAGTGTTACAATGGACCCTTGATTCCATGAGGTTCCACAGTGTCACAATGGTCCCTTTGACTCCAGAAGGCCTTGCAGAATTATAATGGCTCCTGGATTCTGTGAGGTTCCACAAGGTCACAATGGACCCTTTGGTTCCCAAAGGTTCTGTGATGTCACACTGGCCCCTTGATTCCCTGATGTTCCACAGAGTTCCGGAGTCCTTTTGATTCCATGAGGTTCCGCAGTGTCCCATGTTCCCTTTGGTTCCAGGAGGCCCCAGTGGATTCCAATGGCCCCTGGATTCCAGGAGATTCCACAGTGTCCTGAGGTTCTCTTGTCTCCCAGACTTTTGGCAGTGTCCTGGGGTCCCTTTGTTCCCAGGAGGTTCCTTTGTTTCCATCAGGCCCTGCCACATCCCAGACTCCCTTTGGTTCCATGAGGTGCTGCAGGGTCACAATGTCCCCTTTATTCCAAGAGGTTTCTCCATGTCCCAGGGTTCCTTTGGTTCCATGGGGCTCCACAGTGCCAAAACTCCCTGGTTCTTATCCTTCCAAAATTTGTGGGCCCATTCTACCCCTGCCTGGGACGGAGCCCCATTGTGTTTGTGCAGGAATGGATCCATGGCCATCCTGCCACTGCACCAATTTAATGCTGCACAAACGTCACTGCAGGCCCGACCCTGGATGCAGGAACAGTCTGGGAACTCCAGGCCTGCTGACATTCAGCAGAGCCAGTCGGGGTCCCAAAGAGCACAAGTGATTGACTGCAACCCCTGCAGGTCTCTGGCATTGCTGGGGACAAAGGCAGGAACTGCCAGGAGCTCTGCAGAGCCCTGACAGTGCCACTGCAATCCCAAGCTGCATTGCCCGGGGCAACCCTCAGCACAGCCAAGGCCACAACCCTTCCTGAAAGGTGTCTCTTCTGGGCAGGGCCAGGGGGACAAACCCCTCCATCTGTCCCTGCACATGTTATGTCCAATTCTCACCCCCCACTTAGGGACAAAGTCAGGTTACACTGTGTGTTTAGCTTTGCATTTTCATCACTCTTTTGTGCTTCCAACACACACACACCCCCCAGTCTGGGCAGTCTGGCCCCCCAAAGAACACAAGACCTGACTATTTGTGGCTCCTGCTGCAGGGGCTGGAACTTGGGCCCCAATCTGTGCCAGGAGCAGAGAGGTCCCTCCCCACAGAACCTTCTTGGCAATGGAGTTCTTAAGAAAACGAGACAAGCTGTGGGGGTCACTTGCAGGGCACAGCCAAGGATGTGCCTTGACCAGCCTCCTGTTTACCATGACCAGTTTCTTCAGCCTCTTTTCTCTCTGTTTTCTCATGCTTGTTCCTCCAGAAACCACTGGGATCCTCCCCTTGCTTTGGTTCTTTCCTAGACATCCCAGGACAAGTCTTTAGAGGTGGTGGATCCTTTTGTCATAGCAGAAAAGAGCCTGAGAAAGAAAGAATTAATGCCAAGTGCAGCTGGGGAGGTCCCAAGTGGACATGAGGAAAAAGGAATTTCACTCCATGGAAAATACTGTGCTGCAACACATCACCAAGGAGGAGTCTGGATGAGGCCAAGGCTTTGTGTGTGCAGGAAGTGCCAGGGAGGACGCAGAGATGTCGGTGCAGGAAGGTGCCAGTGTAGTGGGGCAGCCGGGGGGATGACGACAGCCTGCAGGGAAAGGGGCAGGGCATGGACACCGTAGGACAGCCTGGGTTGGAGAGGAGAGAGGGATGGGGAGAAACTGAAAGGCCCTGACACAGCCACCTTCTGCAGGCCTTTGGCCATGGCTGCTGTCTGTGCCCCTGATGCCAGGAGGAGACAAGTGGCCCTTGCAGCCCTGGGGCCTCACGGCCTCCTTGTCCCTGCTCAGCAGCCTGGCAGGTGCCACCCCATGGTCCTGCCCTTGGCATTGCACATCCCGCATCCCAGTGCCCCAGGAAGAGCCCGGAGGAATGAGGCAGGGACAGGATCTGCCTTCCCAGGGGCTGGGGCTCAGGGCTTGGCCCGTTGGATTAAGGAAACACATCCAGGTTTCCTCAGCATCAGAGCCACCTTTCCCTTGCTTGTCCATCCTTGTCATCACCGTCTGCAATTTTCTGTTCCAACTGGAATCTGGGGACACTTTCACAGTCCTGTCCCTCAGTGAGACTCATTAGCACTGCAAGAAACTTTGCAATTTCAATCTCACTTTGACTTCTTGAAAGGTTGTTTGAACTTACTCTCAGGGACTGAGTCTCATGTAAACACCACCAAACACCCCTGGGGGTCATGAAATGCCTGGGGCTGTGTCTGTGCTGCTGAGCTGGGCTGGGCTCCTGGCACACAGGGAGCTCCTGGCAAGCGGGCAGTGCTGCAGAGAGACAGCTCTGCCCAGGAGCAGCTCCTCTGCACAGCCCAGCAGGGCTGAGGGCACTGCCAGGGCAGCTCAGGGACACCAGCAGGGCACAGACAGAGCTTCAAGGGGCTCAGCACTGGCAGGATGGCTGAGAGCTCCCTGCAGGAGGAATCTTGGCAGGGCTGCACACGGTGAGTCTGTGGCTGCAGGGCAGTGCAGGGGCAGCTCCTGGAGGCATCTCCTAAAGTTGGCCCAGCCCCAGCTGATGGGATGGGTGAGCAGGGGCTGTTTTGGGGCACTTTGGAAGAGCTGTGAAGCCGGGGGTTCAACCAGGGGTGCCCAGAGCTGTGGGGCAGAGCAGGGTCCTGCAGCCCAGGGCGCTGTGCTGGGCAGGGACTCTGCTGCCTGACAGGGGCAGCTCTCAGCTGGCCCGGGAGCTGCTGCCAGGGCTGGGGGAGAAGGGCTGTGGGCAAGGAGCAAACCTGGCAGGGGAGGGAGGATCTTTTCCATGTCTCACTGTTGCAGGGTCAGACCTGCTCACAGTTCCAGACCACTACACCATATTTAATGCAGAATTGTTTGCAAAGCTCAGAAAAGACAGGGGCTACAGGAAAGGAATTAGTCCTGAGGTGTGTTTCCTGCTTAGGCATTGTAGCATAGATATTGTTCTCTCAGTTCAGGAGGCTGCACTGAAATTCAAACTCTTTTACTCTCAGAGATGAATATTTCAGGCAGGATCAGAAATGAACACAGGATCCTGGGCAGTGCTGAGCCTTCCCTTGGGGGTGGACACTCTCCTGTCCCAGCCCTTGGCTTCTCTGTAGGAGGGCTCCTGTCCTGCTCTGTCCAGCACAGCTGCACCTCTGGGCTGGCACAGGGGACACTTCCCAGAGCTGCCCTTTGAGGCAGCGCTGCCCTGCTCTCAGCACAGATCTTGGTGGGGTTTTTAAAGATGAATCTGTGTGTGAAGTCACCTTCAAGGCAGCCCAAGGGAAAGTGCAGGGCAGATGGGAAACAGGCTGAGAAGAACTGCAGCTCTCCTGTGTCGGAGGACAGAAATTGTGTGAACAATTTCTATTGCATTTCTGAGACCTTCACCTTGACATGGCTGGGTGCAGACAGTAAAAAAATACTGCACCACTAATATGGCTGCAGGCCTTGTGCCAAGGTGAAGGAGGAGTTGTTCTGGCAGGAAAACAAGTTTTATGGACACCTGCTGTTATCCAATTAGTACTGTACACCACAGTATGTTTTCCTTATGTATCCAATGTAACCTGGGGAAGAATCACATGTCTGTGTGTCACAGGCAGCATATAAGCTGTCTGTCCTCTAATAAAGGGGACATTTTTGCCAATCATATTGATTTGTGTGCATTTCTGTCAGACCCCCTCCGCCGTTATCTGGCGCCCGTTTAACAGGGAGTGCTGCTTCGCCGAGTTCTGCAGGGACGTAAGGCGAACGGAAGGAGCTGAGGGAAGCGGTCGTGAAGGCAGCGCTGTCCCCGGCGCTGCAATAAAGGCCGTGCGCACGGCACAGAGAAATCTCGCCTTGGCCCGGTGAGTCGACCAAGGGAGGAGGCATGGGGCCCGCGGCATCCAAAGAGGATGAGGCCGTGGAAACGGTGCTCCAATATATAATCTCTCTAGGAGAGCCCGTTTCTGATGAAACAGCCCCTAAGGGGTTAATGGCATGGGTGAGAGCGAGGAATCTACTTCCCACTGCTCGAACCTCCTTTCCGGTGTCCACAAGGGACGCTGTAAAGGAATTGTTTTGGGACGAGATCTCTACGGGGTCAGGAGCCACTAGAACGTGTACTCTGCTTTGGCGTCTGGCAGTTGGGTCGCTACAAGAGTTAAGTCCTGAGCGACGGGAACTCATAAAGGTTCGGACAGCTCTGTCGGGAGGTGGCGGGACTACGGCGGGTCCCCGCCCCGTTCGGTCTGCTGTAGGGGAGATCCCCGTGCCTGCGGCTGCGCAGTTGCGAATGCTAGGACCCTTAAAAGCAGCGGGATCACCTCCCTTTAGCACCGTGCATGTAGCAGCAGGACGTGTGGGGGCTGCAGGAACATCACTGGCGGCGGAGAATGAAGCTGGAGCCGCGCCCGCGGCCCCGCTCTCTCCTGCGGCTGCGCGGTCGGCAGTGTCGCTCCTCACTGTGCCTGCTGCTGCGCATGTGTCAACTGGACCGACACTGCTGGGAGCCTCCGCGTCCCTGGATGGCGCTGCATCGCTGGCGCCTGACGCCACCATGCAACCCGGAAGAGAGCCACTGTGGATCGCTGCCATGGCAACAGACGCTGTTTTCGGACAAAAAACAAACAAACAAACAAAAAAACAAACCACCGTTTCCAGGTATGGTACATATGAAAGAAAGTAGCAGCTATTGAGCCTTGCATTAGAAGATGCTATATTAGCACAACGAGCAAACGAGCAACACTGAAAAAGTGCCACTTCTTGTTGACAGGAGAGGCAGTCCTTCCCGTATTTTTGTTAACTCTCATGTTAATTGTGTTGTGTGTCCAATGTTGTTGTGAGCTCACTGTATTGTTAACGGTACCGTGCTTGTGTGTGTGTGTGGAGAAGCGACCACACGTTTGTTAGTAACTGTTAAAAGCCAGAGGTGAGAGTCCGGGAGAATTTCCTCCCGTTAAAGTGTCTCGGGTACACATAAAAGCATAAAAATTCCCTTTAGGATTACTTAAACAGCTGCCAGAGTCAGGCGTGCGGGCGCTGGGGCCGCGCGCCAGGGCTGGGAGCTGCGCGCTGGGGCTGCCGCTGCGCCGAGCTCGGCCGTGGGGGAGGCGGCAGAGGCAACCACGGCAAGAGGCGGCAGGGGCACCTCGGCGACAGAGGCACCTCAGTGACAGAGGCAAGAGGCGGCAGGGGCACCTCGGCGACAGAGGCACCTCAGTGACAGAGGCAAGAGGCGGCAGGGGCACCTCGGCGACAGAGGCACCTCGGCGACAGAGGCACCTCGGCGACAGAGGCACCTCAGTGACAGAGGCACCTCAGTGACAGAGGCAACACCGACAGCTACTTCTGCAGAGCCAGCCAGACTTCTGCGGGGATCCCCGGAGCTGCACGGCGCACGGAGCAGCGGCTCGGCGGTGACTGGCTTGCGGGGCAGTAGCCCCGCAGAATCCAGGCATGTCAGTCATTGAGAAGAGAAAGCAGAATCTCTCTCTTTAGTCCTTCTACTCACTTGTAGATAATTTAAAACTAAAAGATTGTGTTTTACTAAAAGTTAGCATGCAAGAAATTTTAAGAGTTTCCCGGAGAATGAATCTTTATATAAAAGCTTTAGTGAATTGCCTTGTTTTTAGTTACATTTTACCCCTGTAAAGACCTTCTGCCCAAATTTCATGTTCAGCCTTAGCAGGAGACATAAGGTTCACACAATAGAGATCATTTGTTGCTTAGCAACTGGGTGGGACTCAAACCACCTCCAGCAGTTTCTCAGAACTAGGGAGAGAGTAGAACTTATCTTACAAAAACTACAAATCTGCAAATAGGATAAATGGAAAGCTGGCAGGCTGAGGATTTCCTTAATTCTTAGGTAAAACATCTCTCTATCTTCCTGTTATAAACTGAGAAGTTGTTGTGACAGTGGAAATCACATCTTTAGGATTGTGTCTAAAAAGGTTTACTCAGCTGATTTTAACATTTGGATGTTTAGTTTACATTCCTGTCTGATATTATTTCTTTTCCTTGGTCAAGCTTAGTGAATTCATAATTTTTTCCTTTTTTTTCTTCTGTGTTTATGACAGAGTTGCAACTTTGAGTTGCATTTCATGTACTGTTTAAGCAATTGTTAATATTCTATTTATAACATAGCAGCAAGTACATTTTTTTTTTTCAGATTTTAATATATATCTTCTGTCGTGGATTCGTACAGTATGTACAGAGCAGTCTGGTCAAACGAACCGTATTATAAGTTTTTAAATGTTTTATAACTGCTGATATAGCATACAGCCTAATTGCTTTTCTAAAAACACTACTCGAGCACACACTATGCTGTGAAGTTTGACTTATCTCTCTTGGCACTGATGTTATGTCAACAGTTACACTACATGAATTTCAGATTATTTTTAAAATAACCTAACAAGATGCAAAATGTGTGTGTTTAGTTTATACCGATAAAAGAGCAGATTGCTAAATTACACTTTTCCAAAACCATTGATGCGTGAATTAGAACTTTTTATGCCCATTTGATTTATAAAGCAGAAATGTCTGGAGACCACATGATAATCTGTCAGGAAATCAGTAGAGATTGCAATAAAACTGAGTTACTAGAGTCAGGTTGAATTTAGTAAAATTTCTCTAGTTTTCCTCCCAATATAACGATCTCAAAGCTAGATTTAGTTAACTTTACATTCGAGAAATTATTTAAAACCTGTGAGCGATTTAGGATTTTAATATAACAGGTGTGGTTTTTACCTGTTCTGTGCTGTTGTTCCACAATTATGGAGTTACACGTTCTTACAACTAGTTATTTGTATTCCTTTGTGCTGCTTATGTTGTGAATTTTGTTCTCTTCCTGAAATTTCATAGGTAAAAGAACTAAAAATACGAGCAGATGATGTAGATCACATCTAAGGAACCGGCTGCAAGCTGGAATCTGGCCTTCTATATCCTTCTGAACTGCACATGTAGCTTAAGGCTGAGTATTAAACAGAATAATCAAACAGTATTTTTTCACTGTCATAGACTTAAATGCACTAAATATATTGAAAAGTAAGTAAATTAACTTTTACGTAATTAATTTTTCCTTCCTTCTTGGAGTAGTGGGCAACATTTCTACGGTGTTCTGAAGAGAAAGACCTTTGTAGTTATATTTTTAATTTTTTGGTTATATTTTTAGTCTCCTGCTGAGATAGTGTTAATTATAATTTTGGAAAAAGAGAGAAAATGACACAAAATCTTTAATTTAATCCCAAGTGTATGGTCTATATTGAAAAGCCCTGGGATGCACCTGGTATTGTAATTGGTATGACTGACAATACCTCTCCTATGCCTTCAAATAATCCTTATTCGTCTGGTTATATCACAAGTCAAAAATGTTCATTCTCAATCTGTCATTAGTAATTGTCGTGAATAAGAGGAGCCCATCTGTGGCTCCGGTGAGCGCTCCGGTGAGCCTAGCTCAAGACTGGGAAGAGGATGCAAAATACAGGAAATTAGAGAAACTGTTCTAATTGTTTTTGTCATCTTTGTATTAATCAGAACAATAACTACAGCCATGCATTAACCATTCAATGCAGGCCATGCATCTAAAAGAACGAAATGCATTGGTTTTTTCTTTCTTGTATAGCAGACCTCTTGCCCTAATAGATCCCTGAATCTACTATTCCAGAGTTAAGGAAATCTCTGTCACCAACAAGGTGTTTCCACTTATTCTCTTTGTATGTGGTATTATATTGCTAGCAAACAAGAATCAGAGTTGGAATCAAAACTTGCATTTTTCTCCGGCATAGAAAGTTATAATATGATTACATTTGTATTATGAATTTGGCCGAAATTTGGAAACAAACTCTCCTGAACTGTGTGCTGCCAAGTTGTTCTTGCAGTAATCTTAAAGGTAGAGGCTAGAGCTAAGCCCTGGCTTCAAGAAGTGAAGGACATATGTGATGGCGTGTGCAGAGTGACTGCAACTGTGCTTGGTTTTGCCTCCTGAGATGGGGCAGACGTGTCACTAAGGGGAAAGGAAGACAATGGAAAACTATGGAACTTTTAACATCCTGAGGCCTAAGGGTTGTCACTGTATACAACGATCTGTTTCTGT